GGCGAAGCAGCTGGACGGTGTATGACTACGTGTCCCACAAGGCTGACCAGTCCGAGTACCAGTGCGAATCACGTAAGAGCAGCGAACAGCACTGAGAGACCCTCCACTCTGAGCGTACCACTCACGAAGCTGGCGAGGCGTGAGAGACACGCGAGAGGGTCGCGGGAGCTGCATCTGGCCGCCACCACGAGTAGAAGCAGCAGGAGTGGAAGTAGGAGTAGCGTCGCCACCCCTACAGCCCCAACCAGCGTACCACTCACGCAACTGCTGGGGCGTGAGGGACTCACGCCGGCGTCGCTGGGGCTGCATTGGGCTCCGCAAGTAGAAGCAGGAGCAGGACTAGCAGCAGGGAGGCAGCCAGGCAAGCCAAAAGGCAGGCAGGCAGGCAAGCAGGCGACGCGCAGCGTGCTAGCAGGGCAAGAGCTCACCAGTGGTGGGAAGAGTAGGCTCGGCGACTTAGCGGCTCGGCAGCTCGGCGGCTCGGCGGCTCGGGCGACTCGGGCGGCTCGGCGGCAAGGCGGCTCGGCAGCAACTGCAACTCAGCAGCTCGGTGACTCGGCGGCTCGGCGGCAGGGCGGCTCGTCAGCAACTGCAGCTCAGCAGCTCAGCGACCCGGCGGCTCGGCGGCAGGGCGGCTCGGCTGCTGGGCGGCTTGGGTGCAGGGCGGCTCGGCGGTGGGGCGGCTCGGCTGCTGCAGGTGAGCGGCTCGGCTGCTGCAGTGGGAGATGAAGGAGGAGGAGAAGCAGGGGAGGCCACACACCTGCCACCCCTCTGCTGGCCTCTCCCGTCGCCTGTCGAGGCGACCTGAGGGGGCCGCTTGCGGCCCCCGAAGGAGCCGCGACGGGCGACGGGAAAAGGGGGGGGGGGGTGGTGGGGGGGCCGGTAGGTGCAGCGGCGGGGCCAGCAGGTGCAGTTGCGGGGCCGGTAGAAGGGGACGGCAGGAGCCGTCAGGAGGGGACGGCGGGGCCGTCAGGAAGGGACGGCGGGGCCGTCACGAAGGGACGGCGGGGCCGTCAGGAGGTGACCGGGCCGCGACGGGGGCAGGCGGCGGGGCCGCGTAAGGGCTTGGGCGGGGCCGCGACAGAGCCGTCGGCGGGGCCGCGTGAAGGCCGGGGCGGGGCCGCGTAGAAGCCGGGGCGGGGCCGCGCGAGAGCAGGCGGCGGGGCCGCGTAAGGGCTTGGGCGGGGCCGCGACAGAGCCGTCGGCGGGGCCGCGTGAAGGCCGGGGCGGGGCCGCGTAGAAGCCGGGGCGGGGCCGCGCGAGAGCAGGCGGCGGGGCCGCGAAGGAGCCGGGGCGGGGCCGCGTGAGAGCAGGCGGCGGAGCCGCGTAAGGGCCTGGGCGGGGCCGCGACAAAGCCGTCGGCGGGGCCGCGTGAAAGCCGGGGCGGGGCCGCGTAGAAGCCGGGGCGGGGCCGCGCGAGAGCAGGCGGCGGGGCCGCGAAGGAGCCGGGGCGGGGCCGCGTGAGAGCAGGCGGCGGGGCCGCGAAGGAGCCGGGGCGGGGCCGCGTGAGAGCAGGCGGCGGGGCCGCGACAGAGAGGGCGGCGGGGCCGCGTCAGTGAAGGCGGCGGGGCCGCAGGGGAAATGGCGACCCGAGGGGTCGCTAAAAAAAAAAGATCGCGCCTCGGGGGGCGCTTCGGTGGGCCCAAGACAAAACGGTCCGTAGAAGGACCCGCTCTATACCATGTGAGAATAAGCGAACAGGAATGAATGAACTAGCAGTGAAATGAGTACAAGTAGGAAACCCTAGAATTGTGTACCCCCTATAGGCTAACCCACTGTAGCCTACACAAGCAGAACATATCTAATGTTTGACAGCGTGTGCAATATTGCAAGAACAAGGGCCTAGCGTGTGCAAACATTCAAAAACAAGGGCCTAGCTTGTTCAAAATGTCAAGAACAAGGGCCTAGTGTGTGCAAAATAGCAAGAAGAAGGGCATAGCGTGTGCAAAATAGCAAGAACAAGGGCCTAGCCTGTGCAAAATAGCAAGAACAAGGGCCTAGCGTGTGCAAATTTTCGAGATCAAGGGCCTAGCGTGTGCAAAATTTCAACAACAAGTGCCTAGCGTGTGCAAAAATTCAAGAACATGGGCCTAGTGTGTGCAAAATTTCATGAACAAGCGCCTAGCGTGTTCAAAATAACAAGAACAAGGGCATAGCGTGTGCAAAATTGCAAGAACAAGGGCCTAGCGAGTGCAAAATAGCAAGAACAAGGGCCTAGCGTGTGCACAATTTCAAGAAAAAGGGCCTAACATGTGCAAAATTGCATGAACAAGGGCTAGAGTGTGCAAAATTGCAAGAACAAGGGCCTAGCGAGTGCAAAATTGCAAGAACAAGGGCCTAGCGTGTGCAAAATTTGCAAGAACAAGGGCCTAGCGTGTGCAAAAAAGCAAGAACAAGAGCCTAGCGAGTGCAATATTGCAAGAACAAGGGCCTAGCGTGTGAAATATTGCAAGAACAAGGGCCTAGCGTGTGCAAAATTGCAAGAACAAGGACCTAGCGTGTGCAAAATCGCAAGAAGAAGGGCTTAGCGTGTGCAGAATAGCAAGAACAAGGGCCTAGCGTGTGCAAATCAGCAAGAACAGGGGCCTAGCGAGTGCAAAATTGCAAGAACAAGGGCCTAGCGAGTGCAATATTGCAAGAACAAGGGCCTAGCGTGTGCAATATTGCAAGAACAAGGGCCTAGCGTGTGCAAAATTGCAAGAACAAGGGCCTAGCGTGTGCAAAATTGCAAGAACAAGGGCCTAGCGTGTGCAAAATTGCAAGAACAAGGGCCTAGCGTGTGCAAAATCGCAAGAACAAGGGCCTAGCGTGTGCAAAATTGCAAGAACAAGGGCCTAATGTGTGCAAAACAGCAAGAACAAGGGCCTAGCGTGTGCAAATTAGCAAGAACAGGGGCCTAGCAAGTGCAAAATTGCAATAACAAGGGCCTAGCGTGTGCAATATTGCAAGAACAAGGGCCTAGCGTGTGCAAAAATTCAAAAACAAGGGCCTAGCTTGTGCAAAATTTCAAGAACAAGGGCCTAGTGTGTGCAAAATAGCAAGAACAAGGGCATAGCGTGTGCAAAATAGCAAGAACAAAGGCCTAGCGTGTGCAAAATAGCAAGAACAAGGGCCTAGCGTGTGCAAAATTTCAAGAAAAAGGGCCTAACATGTGCAAAATTGCATGAACAAGGGCCTAGAGTATGCAAAATTGCAAGAACAAGGGCCTAGCGAGTGCAAAATTGCAAGAACAAGGGCCTAGTGTGTGCAAAATTTGCAAGAACAAGGGCCTAGCGTGTGCAAAAAAGCAAGAACAAGGACCTAGCGAGTGCAATATTGCAAGAACAAGGGCCTAGCGTATGCAATATTGCAAGAACAAGGGCCTAGCGTGTGCAAAATTGCAAGAACAAGGACCTAGCGTGTGCAAAATCGCAAGAAGAAGGGCCTAGCGTGTGCAAAATAGCAAGAACAAGGGCCTAGCGTGTGCAAATCAGCAAGAACAGGGGCCTAGCGAGTGCAAAATTGCAAGAACAAGGGCCTAGCGAGTGCAATATTGCAAGAACAAGGGCCTAGCGTGTGCAATATTGCAAGAACAAGGGCCTAGCGTGTGCGAAATTGCAAGAACAAGGGCCTAGCGTGTGCAAAATCGTAAGAACAAGGGCCTAGCGTGTGCAAAATTGCAAGAACAAGGGCCTAGCGTGTGCAAAATCGCAAGAACAAGGGCCTAGCGTGTGCAAAATTGCAAGAACAAGGGCCTAGCGTGTGCAAAATTTTGGGATCAAGGGCCTAGCTTCTGCAAACTTTCAAGAACAAGGGCCTAGTGTGTGCAAAATAGCAAGAACAAGGGCATACCGTGTGAAAAATAGCAAGAACAAGGGCCTAGCGTGTGCAGAATAGCAAGAACAAGGGCCTAGCGAGTGCAATATTGCAAGAACAAGGGCCTAGCGTGTGCAATATTGCAAGAACAAGGGCCTAGCGTGTGCAAAATTGCAAGAACAAGGACCTAGCGTGTGCAAAATCTTAAGAAGAAGGGCCTAGCGTGTGCAAAATAGCAAGACCAAGGGCCTAGCGTGGGCAAATCAGCAAGAACAGGGGCCTAGCGAGTGCAAAATTGCAAGAACAAGGGCCTAGCGTGTGCAATATTGCAAGAACAAGGGCCTAGCGTGTGCAAAATTTCAAAAACAAGGGCCTAGCTTGTGCAAAATTTCAAGAACAAGTTCCTAGCGTGTGCAAAATAGCAAGAACAAGGGCATATTGTGTGCAAAATAGCAAGAACAATTACCTAGCGTGTGCAAAATAGCAAGAACAAGGGCCTAGCGAGTGCAAAAAAGCAAGAACAAGGGCCTAGCGAGTGCAATACTGCAAGAACAAGGGCCTAGCGTGTGCAATATTGCAAGAACAAGGGCCTAGCGTGTGCAAAATTGTAAGAACAAGGGCCTAGCGTGTGCAATATTGCAAGAACAAGGGCCTAGCGTGTGGAAAATTTCAAAAACAAGGGCCTAGCTTGTGCAAAATTTCAAGAACAAGTTCCTAGCGTGTGCAAAATAGCAAGAACAAGGGCATAGTGTGTGCAAAATAGCAAGAACAATTACCTAGCGTGAACGGTCGGCTGCTACTCCCGTACATCCGACCAAGTCGTTGGCGTTGCCCAAGCGAGGGCGAGGCCAACACTCCATTCCCGTTAACATCCTGAACCCACCACCTATGACACCCGCCCACCACTCTCACACCAGGCCAATAGGTTCTGCGGTGACCACGCAAGCCACCTGGAGCAGCTTGTGATGTGAAGCGAAGGCATCAACTTGTTGTGAAATCCTTTCGACATTGTCATTGCAAAAGTCTGTACCACACTAAAACTACTCTCAACAGCTTTCGAAACAAAATAAGTGGCTGGGCCTGTATCCCAGGAAAGCGGTACAAAGAAGAACCTGTAGGATTGATTTATGCAGTAATTGTTACACATTCAAGAGTCGGGTACCGTATAATTAACAAGCGTATGGGTATGTCTGCCCATCAATCCGCTAGCATTCACTACTTGAGTCCATTGCAGGTGACACTGCCACTGACGGTAGTGCAGCAAACGCCCGCTGCTGCTGCTCCACCTGCTCTTGCTGCTCTTGCTGCTGCTGCTGCAACCTGTGCTCCTCCTCGGCTCGCTTTATACACGACGACAGCAGGCGAGACAAGGGCGAAGCAGTCACTCCATGCACCACCACCGATGCCACCACCACAAACAGCACCACGTGCGCTGCTGTCGCATCCCCCCCCAGCTCCTCACATGCCTGTGCCGCATACAGCACAGCCCCCACCCCAATCGGCCCAAAAAAACCCGCAAACCCCGCTTGGCAGTACACCGCTCGCTTAGACCCCGCCTGCCGGTGCAGCTCCGGCAGGCAGGGAGCGAGCGCGAGCAGCACGGGCAGGCGGCGCAGCAGCAGGACGAGTGCGCTGAAGAGGAGCAGGCGGGGGATGCCGAGGGCGCGCCAGGCGGCGAAGGGGAGGAAGGCGCCGAAGTAGGTGAAGTAGGTGATGGTGACGATGATCTCTATGCCGTTTATTGCGTCGTACCGCCCCTCCTCTGCTGTGGGTTCCCGGCTTGAGAAGGCGATTGTTGCCACGAACACAGCCAGCACCCCGCTCGCACCTGCATGGTTTATGCGTGGATGCACAGAGACAGGGTGAGAAAAGCGGAGGGGGGAAAGTTGGCAGATTGCGGCAAGGCATTGATTGCGGCAAGGCATTGATTCTTTTAAGTGAGCCTAAGTTGAGACCATACTAGCCACCATATGATGCCTCCCAGAAAAGCGAAAAGAATCAGAGTGACGCACCGACGGCCCGAACAAGCCCCAGGGCGCCGAGGGCGAGGCCGATGATGTGAGCGAGGAAGGACGGCTCGTCTATGAGCCCGTAGCGGTCGCCCAGCAGCAGCAGGACCCGCGCTATCAGCCCGTACAGCATGCCCGCTGCTATTGCCAAGCCCACCTGGGCAGGGCAGGGCAGGGCAGGGCAGGGCAGGTCACAGGAGTGGGAGTGTTAGTAGGTGCAAGAGAATCGAAACAGAAGCGATGCAGCAGAGGTGAGCTTTGAGTTGAGTGAAAACAAGAATTTATATTCCTGAAAGCACACCTGGTAGGCGCAGGAGACGGCGAGCCAGTTGGTGAGCGCGAGCTTGAGAGTGGGCTGCAGCAGCAGTGCGATGGGAAGTGACACGTACGGCAGTGCCATGCCGTCGTTTGCCCCGCTCTCCGCCTGCAACATGAAGCGTAGGGGCGCTGGCAGGTGCCTGGTTGGAGGGGAGGAGGGGGGGAGAGGGGAGGGGAGGGGAGGGAGACAATGCGAGAGAGGTGCAGGGAGACGGAGGTTATGCAAGGGTTGGCAGATAAAGGGGTGCCACGGTCGCTGCATTGACGTGGAATTGCATGCACCCACCCCACCCCACCCCACCCCACCGTACCCACCCCACCCCACCCTACACTACCGTACCCCACCCCACCACACGCCCATGGCGGAGCAAGCACATTTCAGCAAAGCGGCCCTGCAGAACGGTGGAGGCTAGCAGTGGATCGGTCAGCAACCAGGCACGTCTGCCGCGCCACACGCTACCCCATCCAACCAACCTACCAGGCCCCTACCCACCCCTGTGGACGCACATCTCAGCGAAGCGGCCCTGCAGGACGGTGGAGGCGAGCACTGGGTCCGTGGGCGTGAGGCACGCGGCGACCAGCAGGCACGTCTGCCACCCCACGCCCGCGTGCGGCAGCAATGCGAGCGCGAGGGCGAAGGAGATGGCCAACGTGGCGAGCATGGTGGGGCCCAGCAGCACGACCAGCGTCCGCCACTGCCGCTCCACGTACTTGAGAGGCAGGCCCAGCCCCGCTGACACCAGCTGAACTGCCAGGACCAGGCGGGAGAGCTGGGGGAGAGAGAGGGAGGGGGCTTGGTTGGGATATGATATGAGTGGGATGAAGGCGGAAGCTGCTGCCGTTCCCTGCTGACGGAAGGGATCAAGGCATGGGGGAAGGGGGAGCGAGCGGAGCGTTCACCTCTTGCAGCACGGCGAGCGCCGTTTCTTCCCCCAAGGCGCCGTGCGGGTCCAAGACGCGGATGCAGTGCGGCCCCAGCAGCACGCCCACCACCAGCGCCGCGAACGTCTCCGATATAAGCAGATCCTCTTTCAGCTTGCGCATCATGAAGGTGTAGGTCATGATCAGCACGCCTACGACGCCCACCGTTATGTGCAGCCACGCCAATGGCGGAATCAAATCCACCATGTCTGACCAATGAAAGATCTTAACGAGAATCGAGGAGAGCAGTAACGGGGATGACGGCGGATTTGGCGGCACCGGCGGCAGGAGATCGGAGTATGACGGGTAAGAGATGTGATCGGAGGGGAGGGAGATGAGAAGAGCAGCGCGCGACTGCGACATGGCCGCGTTGGGCGCAGCGAGATGATTCGAGCGCGCTTATCGCTAGAGGGTGATAGAAACCGATCGCGCAAAGAGACGGGCGAAGGTTGCGATGAAGAAGGGCGCGAGGAATAAGGGGCGGGAGACAGTGAGACGCTGGGGACAGGCGAATCACACCCGCCCTGTTGTAATTGCAGCGCGAATGCGCCAGGGCCCTCATTTGAGCGAGCATGGCGGCAAGAGCAAGGCGATCGGGGCGCAGGAAGGTTGGATGATAAGAATGGTTGGCGAGTGGGAGAGAAAAGAGTTCGAATGCGCACGTGGCCTTGTGCATGGAGCTTGCTGGAGGTGCGTCAGTGAAAATGTACCCCTCACAATTGTCAGGGGAGTTTCAAATCTCAAATCCCCATGGCCAGCATCCTATATCGGGTATGGAGCCGCTGGTGGCCTCGCTACACAACCTCGTGCTTTCAGAACCCTTTTTGCAATAGGTAACTATATGTGACGCACTTGGCTGGTTGTATGTTTCTCATGCAGACAAGTCATCTCAGAAGTATTCAGTAAGCAATACATACCCTATGAGAGAACAAGATGCCTCACGAAACAAAATACATAAAGTGTTTTGCTCGTGTGGAAAAAGCCACAAGATGCTTCAGATGCAGAGATGCTGCATCGAGCGAGCTGATTCGTATTGAGAAAACACATCACCAACCCCGTCGCAGCTAACGAGAGGCTGCAGCCCATGTGATGCGTTTAGGAATGCGGACTCGATGCCTTGGGTGCAAGTGGTGCTGCGTGAACGGTGAGAGCTGAGGAATGGGCGTGGGCTCACTTAAAGCCCCACACCTCCACCTGTGCCACCTCAAACTCCTCAGAGCTGGTAAGGCAGCACGGGGAGGCAAACAGAGAGCAGGGAGAGCGGGGAGCCATGGGGAAGGGGGCCATGGGGAAGGGGGCCATGGGGAAGGGGGCCATGGGGAAGGGGGCCATGGGGAAGGGGGCCATGGGGAAGGGGGCCATGGGGAAGGGAGCCATGGGGAAGGGGGCCATGGCAACGCCAAGTATAAGTTTGAGGAGGTGTGAAGCATGGAAGATGGTGCAGCGTATGAGGACAGAGAAGGCTACATCTAAGAGGAGAATGCTGAAAGGAATAGCAAGCCATGGCATGGCATGGCAAGGCATGGCATGGCATGGCATGGCACGGCACGGCAAGGCATGGTATGGCACGGCACGGCAAGGCATGGCAGTACCTGGCAAGGATGGCGCTGCCAAAGGTGTCACACGGCGCACTGGCGCCTGTGAGGAGATCAGCATACAGCAGCAGGCTGTGGTGGTTGCTGTACACAGCGCAGTGCGGGGTATGGTGTTGTGGGGCACGGGGTGCATACGGGGAAAAGGGTACAGTGGGGTAACAGGGCGTAGAGTAGGGAAACAGGAGAATGCAGAGAAACATGCGAGCCAAGCATAGCACTAGGTGCCAACGGCTTTCTTTCAAAGCAACCAGGTGAAACCGAATGAACTAGAGTGCAGCACCGTCTCCCATCTACCACCCACGAACTCTCCCCCACCTCTCCCCTCAACCCCACTCACCCGCCCCCCACAGCAAGCATGGCATTGCTGGAGAGCATGAAGTAGCTGTTGGTGCGCGCCCACCTGTACGCCACACACTCCGGCTGCACCTGGTGGGGGGAAGAGGGAGGGAGAAGGGGGGGAAAGAGGAGGAGCGCGTGGGGTAGGGAGGAGGAGAGTGGAAAGGTATGGTGGGAGCTGGCAGAGAGCAGAGTGGGGCTGGCAGGAAAAGGTCGGCAGAGAGCTGGGAGAAAGGGGGGGGGTTGGAGGGGGGTTAGAAAGGCATCAAGGGCAAAAGAATTTCGAACGGAGGCGCACGGGGTAGAAGGGTACCTGGAAGACAAAGCACTCTCCATTGCCGTAGTAGCGGTCCATGGGGCGCCACTCCTCGTTGGTGAAACACCCAAACACCTGCTCACGCATGCATGCATGCACGCACACATGGACGCATGCACATGTGCGTGAAAGACACGAGGAGATCAGGAAGTGGTGCCAGCAAGGACAGAGACAGGTGTGGCAGCATGGGTTTGTGAATCAAGCATGGGGTTAGTGCCTTGGCATAGGCACTGGGCAATTGGGCACTCACGTATTTATTCGAGTCACGCACAACCAGCAGACACGCGCCCTTGCCCTTGATCTTCCGAAACAATGTTGCCATGCTGCACCATGCACACACCCGATAAGGCACGAGACATGGAGGCATGCGGCAAAGTCAGGCAGTACGGCAGAAGAGAGAAAAATTTGCATGAGTAAGTGCAGAGCCATGGAGGGGCTAACAAGAGAGATATTCATGACCTATGGACGTATCACATCATTCCGTAACCTCTGTTGCAGTCACCTGACGCCACATACATCATCACGTTATGCCACCTGGACAATCACTTGATGCATCCTGCATGATCACCTGATGCCACCTGTATGCTCACCTGATGCCATCCCTGGCCGTGGAGTAGAGCAATCTCCAGGGGGACGTGCGCAGGCGAGCAGGCAGCGTCACCGCCAGCTGCGATGCCAGGGGGTGGGGGGAATGGGGGTGGGTTGGGCATGAGGTATGGAGGGAGCAAGAGCAGGCACAAGCAGAGGAGCTGGAATGTGGGGATTGGGAAACACTGGTATGGGGCCACATTTGACCACATGCAGCACATTGCTTCACTCACCGCCATGAAGTTCTGTGGTGACAGCAGCAGCGACTCCCCTATTCTCTTGGGCAGGTAGTGCCCTCTAATCACCGCAGATCCCCACCGTATCGCACTCCCCTGCCCCTCCCCTTCTTGCCCATCCTTCCCCGCGCTCTCGTCCCCCTTCCCCCCTCCCCTGTCGCTCTTCTGTGCTTCTAACGGGAAGGACGGCTGGTAGCCCTTGTTCTCGGGCACTGTTCCTCCGTTCGCTACAATCACGGCCAGTGAGGCGTCCAGCAGCACGGCGGGCGAGACCACCACCTGCTGCCACGTGGCGAGCTTCTGGTGCACCAGGGCCAGGCTGCGCTGAAGGAGAGGGGGGACGGCGGGAGTGGGGGGGAGAAACGGGGTGGTGGGTATGGTTGGAGGACGGGGACATGTTTGTGGGTGGGGGGAGTGGTTGGGGGTGAGGGAATGGTCGGGGATGGGGGGAATGGGTGGGGTTGGGGGACCTGGTTGGGGGCGTGAAACTGAGCGCATGCTTGTGTGGGGCTGTGTTGCGAGGGCAGCTCTCACGACACAGCCACATCTCTCCTCCTCTCCTCTCAACAAACCCCCCTGTCCAGACTGCTGCAATTCATGGCGAGTACTCTGCAACCGCGCACTCCGGCCCCCCCAGCGCGCCACCCCTCTGCGCGTCTCTCCGCGCCCGTCTCACCCTGCGGCGTTGCAGGCGAACTGGAGGGTCTGCGCGGGGGCGCTAGCGAGGGAGGGGTTGCGGAAGAGGATCTCCCACTTCTCCATGCGCGCAACTAGCGCCTCCAGCTCCCGCCGCGCCTCCTCCTCCTTCCGCGCCGCCTCTTCCTTCACCTGCCGCTCCTCCTCCTTGGCGCGCCTCGCCCTCTCCTTCTCGTCCAACACTTCCTCCCTTCTCTCCTCGGCGCGACTCTCTTCGCTCGCTCCTTCCCCTTGTTTTACTTCTTCCGCTTTTCCCTCCCCTTCTGCATTTTCATCTGTAACGATCGTAACCTGCTCTGCTCCTTCTGTGCTTCTCGCTTCCGCCGCCTCTGTCGCTGCGTCCCCGCTTTCTGTCTCCCCGACCTTCCCCTCCGCTGCTGCTTCCCCTCCTTCCGCCACCGCCCCCCCAACCACTCCATTCTCCTTCCCTGCTTCCCCCTCCCCCTCCCCCTCCCCCTTTTCCGCAGCTCCCCCTTCCGGTTTCGGCACGCCCGGAATGGGCAAACCCGTCGGTTTGTGTTCCTTCACCCATTGCCACGTGGCAGTCAGCGACTCGCCGATGGCGGCTGCGAGCGACGCCTGCAGCTTCGGCCAATTCTCCTCGAGCTTGTCTTTTATCGCCACCGCGTTGCCGCGAATCTTTGCTGACGTGGACGCGATGTACGAGCGCGCGGAGGCGTCGGGCTCGGAGAAGGCTTTGATTCGTCGCATGCCGACGAAGTGGCTGTAGGAGAAGGCGCAGCTGCGGATGCCGAAGTCGAGCATGAACGGATTGTCGCCCAGCGTCGCCTCCAGCTGATTTCGCGTCGCCGAGAAGGTACGACGACACAAGGGTAAGGACGGGAGTTGTGAGGAAACCGAATAAATTGATGAATAATGGGAGAACGGGAACGGAATGGGAACGGGACGCGAGGGATCCGAGCAGCGGGGCGTACCAGATCTCGTCCGACCGGGACGATGAGACGCGGCGGCGAGTCGTCGTCCTCGTCGCCCTCCTCCTTGTTGCTCGGGTCGCGCGACAGCGGCTGCTGCTTCAGCTCAGGGTACTTGGCCTCCAGTTCGCGTCGCTCGCGGTCGCCCACGATCGTCAGCATCATTCGCACGCGCTCCACTTCTTCCGCGCTCAGCACCCTCTCCCCCGGCTTCGCGGCCTCCATTTCGTCGTCCGACTTGTCGTCGAAATCGCTCGCTTCCGTCGGCTGCTTCTCCGCTGTCAGCTGCGACGTCGCCTGCGAGTCGCCGTCGTCGTCGCCATCATCGTCGCCCGTCGCAGACGCGCATTGCCCATCGACCTTATCCGACAGCGATATCGTCTCCATTGGCAGCTCTTCCATCGTGCCGGCACTACCCGTCGCGTTGGGCTGTGCTGTCACGGTCTCAGTAGGTTCATCCATGGCTGCACCCAGCTCGTTGAGCGCAAGGCAGTGAATGATCTGTTCCCTCGAATTCAGCGATAGTGAGCTGAGGCAAAATGCGGCGGAGCTGATACAGACCGGACGAGCCACTAATTTCACGCGCTGTGGAGCTCGTCACTGACCGCTGGGTGTCGCGCACTGATGGATGGCTGGATGAATCACTCCTTTACTGGACCGCCATTTACGTCGACGGATTGAGCGAGTTCAGACATTTCTTGAAAATGCCTACCCTGGGAGTGCCTTCTTGGAAGTGCCGAAAACGGTTGCCCTGAATATCCATCATCCATCCATCCCGCCTTAGGGATTTGTTTTCCTGCTACTGTTGTGGTGAATGAGGTGAGGGGATTCGCATCGCGCGCGCGCGCGGGAAGCGCTTTATTCCCGCTACACGCGGAAGGGGTGGCGGAACTGGAGAGGTTGAGGGGTGGGGGAAACCCGCGCGGTGGCTGTCGGTGCTCTGTTTGATGCTGACACCGCGGGAATATTGCCGCAATATCGAATGTGCTGAAATAGGAGATCGAAATTGTAATATGTAATTGTTGATCGATGCATCCGAGTTCGGTTGCATTTAGTCAATTCCTTTTGCTGGCGGTCTCGGCTTAGCATATGACGAATTTCTTTGTGCTGGACGAAATTGGCACACTGCCTGACAATTCCCAACGGCCGCCAAAATGGTGGCATTGCTTCAGTCTGACAAACTAGACATTCCTTCCCTGCATCAGTAGTGCATGTCCCACTCACCCAAGCTCGGTCAGTGATATCCGCGCCGCTACCTTGGTGGTTAGTGTCCCACGGTCGACCGCGATCCATGACACGCGACGCATTGACTGAATAAGAGGAATGCGAAGATCGTTCGGTCTGTTTTCATGGAGTCGCCGAGCTTATCGCCCCGTTGGCGCATCGTCAGTCGCGCTGAGTCCCTCTTATCGTCCCTCCGCCGTGTCGCCTCGAATCTAACGTTCAGCTGGGTGAATCCCCTCGTCGCACTTGGCTCTCGACGCCAGTTGTCGCCCGTAGATTTGCTGCCTCTGCCTGCTGACGTGGAGCCACGTGTGTGCGGGCAGCTCCTTTGGACGAAATGGGAGGAGGAACGAGCAGCAGGCGACGACAACGGCATGCTTGCATCACGCGGCGACGGTCAGACGAGTGGTGTGTGGGGAGAACCGTCTCAGTCGGACCGGGATTACCATATAGACGGGCCGTCGTCGCGTGAACGGCGCAGGCGCAGCGCGCAGCGAGGAGCGCCGTCGCTGCTGCGATGCATGGTGGCCATCTTCGGCGCGGAATACCTCATGATCGGCGGGATCAAGGTGCGCTATCGTGGAATGGTGGTGGTAACCAGCGGATCAGGGTGGTAAGACGTGGAGTGGAAACCGAGCAGTGACATAGTGGGGTGAACGCAAGGCACAAGAGCGCAGAGTACCTGGTGACCTGGGGGATGAAAGTGAGGAAAACACGTGGGTTGTAAGCGCCAGATCAGGGTGCTAAGACATGGAAGTGTACAATGAATGGCCATGTCACCATGTCACAGTGGATTCAAATAACCACGGCAATCGCGCAGTCATCCTGTTACCTACGCCGTCTATTGCCCAACGCCATGCTCGTCCTCCTTTCCTGCGCTCCTCCGCCTTCTCATCCATCCCCCACCTGCCTCGCTCCCTCACCGCCATCCCCCTCACTCCCCCATTCAGCTGGTGAACGACGCGCTGGCCTTCGCGGGGCCGCTGCTGCTGCACCAGCTCGTGTCCGTGCTCGACAACGGCTCACATGCCCTCGCCCTGCACCCACCTTCTCCGGCCCCTGCCACCCTCGGTATTCACGCATTTGCTTCAGCTCGCTCGCCTCACTCCTGCCCCACCTTTCCAATCCCCCGGTGATAGCTGTTTGCTTTTCGCGCCCTCCTCCTTCCATTCCCCTCACTCCGTTCTCCCCCCTTCCCACTCGACCCTCGCTTCATGCAATCCCTCATTCGTGTGAGTACCACAACAGCCTCCCGGCCGTTTCATCGCCTCCTCCTGGTTGCCCCTCTGTGCGTTCCTGATCCATCCCACCCACCGTCCTGCCAGGGCCTGCCGCGCCCCCCACGCCGTGGTCGTATGGCCTCGCTTGCGCTCTCGCCATCGGCGCCACCTCTGCCCTGAGGTCTGTGGTAGGGAGGCATGGTGAGCCTCAGAAATCCTGGCATGGTGACTTCACGTGTTCCTTACCCTCGTGCTCGTCTCCAACCCATGAACAACTGACTCGGTTATCTCCTGCTCCTCCTCCCGGGCATTCCACACTCATCGCATGGCGTTTGTGAACAGGCGGCCATGTCTCAAACCTCGTGTCCTTCTAGCTTCTTCCCATTCATCGCACCACCCTCGTCCCTCATTTCTCATGGCTCATTCCTCACCCCAGAGCCTTCCTAGGCGCGCACTACTCGTACCGCCTGGCGCGCATGGGGCTCAAGCTGCGCGCTGCCATCGCCACCTGCGTCTTCGCCAAGGTGTCGCCCTCGCCTCGATTGCTGTCGCCTGCTGAGTGCTTGCAGTGCCTGGACGAGTGGTTCCTGTTGCTGCCGCAGCGCTGCTGCTGCGTCTGTCAGTGCTGGGAGTGACTTCCTTCCACTGTGCCGATTAGCGTCATGTGCTTCTCCCCCTCCTCCCCCCCACCTCTCCCCTGCCTCCACCAGGTGCTGGCAGTGAGTGCGGCACAGAGGGGGTCATTCGAGGGTGGCGAGGTGCAGACGCTCATGAGTGTGGATGCGGACAGGCTTGTCAACCTCGTCATGTCGCTGCACGACCTCTGGGGGTCAGTGCTTTCCTTGGCAATACTCGGATCGGAAGCACATTCTGAGTTTCAGCTTTAAATTGTGAACCAGGGCTCATTTGTGCTTTTCTGGAATCATTATTAATTCCTGGTGGGAAATTCCAACTTCATGCTTGCCGATTTTTAGCGTAGAACTGTCTGAAAATCGCTGACTATCCAGCCTACCCTATATCCAATCTGGGACACAAATCTTACCCCATAGTTTTCACCTCTTCCCACTCCCTGTCTCCACGTGTTTCATTCTCGCAGTCTGCCTCTGCAGATCCTTGTGGCGCTGCTGCTGCTCTACTGGCAGGTATGCACCATGCTCTGTGCCATGGCGGCACGCTGCACAGCACAGCACACACATACTAGTTCTACCGCTTCACACATTTCTCTAGCCGCACTTCCTCCTCGACGCGTCTCGGTCTTTGATATGCCACCACCCATTCTCATTGTATGGATGGCCAGGCCTGCTTCGTACCATCTGCCACTGAACTTACTACACTGCATCCCCTCTCTCCCCCCCCCCCCCCCCCTCCCCCTCTCTCCTCTCCCTGTCATCTCCCTGCAGGTGAGCTACGCGTTTCTGGCTGGCCTGGCAGTTGTGCTGCTCCTCATCCCAGGTGCTCGCGCCTTGACCTCTCTGACCTTGCTGCTGCTCACACCCTACCCTTGGACGCCTGCTGCCCCACCACTCTCTTGTTCTCCTGCTCAATCCCCTCTCACATTTGAGACCGTGTGCCTCAAAACGCATCGCCGGTGTCTCCATGAGTGTGTCGTTTTCCTTTTCGATCCGCCACTCACAGAAGAGCCCATGTGCCGCACCTGCCACATTTGACATGTGCCGCACCTGCCACATTTGACATGTGCCGCACCTGCCACATTTGACATGTGCCGCACCTGCCACATTTGACATGTGCCGCACCTGCCACATTTGACATGTGCCATTGTCTGTTTGTCTTGTGCCGTGTGCTCTGCAAATGGACATGTGCCATGTGTGTGATACACACTGTGTGCTATGCCGTGTCCATGTGTCTTGTGTTGTGCGCATGTGTGTTGCGCTGTGCTGTGTGCATGTGTGTCGTGCGCATGTGCATGTGCCATGTGCATGTGTGTCGTGCGCATGTGCATGTGCCATGTGCATGTGTGTCGTGCGCATGTGCATGTGCCATGTGCATGTGTGTCGTGCGCATGTGCATGTGCCATGTGCATGTGCATGTGCATGTGGTGAGTGCAGTGAACCGGTGGCTGGCGGGGAGGATAGGAGAAGCGAGCAAGCAGATGATGACCAGCAAGGATGCCAGGTGAGGGGCACACAGAGAGACAAGGCTCGGATGCTTTTGCTCTTGCTCTCTCTCCCGCTATTTTATCGTGTGACACCCTCACTCACCCTGCCAAGTCACCCTGCCACGTCACCCTGCCACGTCATCAGGGTGCAGGCGATGCAGGAGCTGTTGGACCATGTGGCAGCAGTGCGCGCCATGGCCATGGAGGGCGCTCTGCTCTCCCGCATCAATGCCGCTCGACACCTCGAGCTCTCCGCCCTTGCTGTACGTGTGTTTGTGTATCTGTGTATGTCTGGGCTGGGCTGGGCTGGGCTGGGCTGGGCTGGGATGGGCTGGCAAGGCAGGTTGTATACCAGCATCCACATTCCCCTCCCTCCCTCCACCCATTGCGTGCCTCAGGGGTGCACGTACGTGTCTGACACACATGCGGGAATGCTCTCAGACGCGTCTCATGCCTGCACTGCATGATCCCCACACACATGCTTCTTCCCCACCATTGCATGCATCAGGTGCGCAAGTACCTGGCTGGACGCGTGGCGTGTGTACTTCTGGGCGTGCACGCCTGGCTCGTTCGAGTTGACTCCAAGCAATCCACCTGCTCTGCTCCCCCCAACCTGTTCCACCCCGCAGGTGCGCAAGTACCTGGACGCGTGGTGTGTGTACTTCTGGGCGTGCACGCCTGTGCTCTTCTCCCTCGCCACCTTCTCCTCGCTGCTGCTCCTCGGCCGCTCCCTCAACGCCCCCGTGGTAAGCCATCATGCCCTGCACTCGTCGCCCCCGTGGGATGCCATCATGCCCTGCACTCGTCGCCCCCGTGATATGCCATCCGCTCTCAACGCCCCCGTGGTATGCCGTTCGTTTTCCCTCTCTTTTCTGCTCTCTCCTCTCACTCACCCTGCTGTTTCTCATGTTGCTGGTTTCTGAGTCGACTAGAAAATTGGTTCAGGTCGCCTAACAATTTGAATCGACTCAACAACGCCCTCCCTTCCGCACCCCTCACCCCACCCCACAGGTGTTCACGAGTCTAGCACTCTTCAACGTGCTGCTGGGCCCGCTCAACTCCTTCCCCTGGGTCATCAACGGCATCGTCGAGGTACGAGTTCAACCAAGGTCTCACTATGCCACATGCTCTCATTCTCTGCATGTATTGTCCATGTGCCTCGTTTTGAGACGCCTCGAAACTCTTCAACGTGCTGCTGGGGTCATACACTGCACCGCCCGCTCAACTCCTTTCCCTGGGTCATCAACGGCATCGTCGAGGTGAGAGTGGAGCCGAGGTACTTGTCTCTCGCTCTCATTGTTGCCATGCGTTTGCAATGGCGGTGCAGCGTATGAGCATGCAGTGCAGCGTATGAGCGTGCGGTGCAGCATATGAGCGTGCGGTGCAGCGTATGAGCGTGCGGTGCAGCGTATGAGCGGGCGGTGCAGCGTATGAGCGGCCGGTGCAGCGTATGAGCGTGCGGTTCAGCGTATGAGCGGGCGGTGCAGCGTATGAGCGGGTGGTGCAGCGTATGAGCGTGCGGTTCAGCGTATGAGCGGGCGGTGCAGCGTATGAGCGTGCGGTGCAGCGTATGAGCGGGCGGTGCAGCGTATGAGCGGCCGGTGCAGCGTATGAGCGGGTGGTGCAGCGTATGAGCGGGCGGTGCAGCGTATGAGCGGGCGGTGCAGCGTATGAGCGGGCGGTGCAGCGTATGAGCGGGCGGTGCAGTGTATGCCGCAGGGACCTCCTCTGCCCAGCAGGTGCAGGCTCATGTGTGCTTCTGTCGCACAGATACAGTTGTGTGCTGCCCTGGATCCCCCCTTCATCATTTCACCATCACGCAAACTCACGTTCTTTCATGCCTTCCCCCCACTCTCCCTATGCCTTTCTCATCTCTCATCACTCTCTGTTCCACTCCCACCACCCCTCAGGCGCTCATCTCTGTGAAGCGCCTGGAGGCGTTTCTCTGCATCCCCACGCCACCCATAGCCCGCCTCCCCTCTGCCTTCACCACCCCCTCTTCCACCTCATCATTCCCCACCGCCTCATCCCCTCCCACTGCGCCACCTCCTACCACCGCACCTGCTGCCAGCATCACCACCGGGCCTCACAGCAGCAGCAGCAGCGCCGGGCCTCACAGCAGCAGTCTGCTGGTGTCGCTCCTCCCCTTCCTCCTCCGCCACCCCCCTTCGCCGCTGTCCCGCCACGCTTCCCCCGCACTCTCGCCTCTCACAGCCCCCCTGCTGCGCCCCCCTACTGGTGAGGCTGATGGCGAGGCAGGGGGTGCAGCAGGGGGTGCAGCAGGGGGTGCAGCAGGGGGTGCAGCAGGGGGTGCAGCAGGGGGTGGCACGAGCAGCAGGCAGCGCCTTGCACTCTCCCTTCCTGCCACAGATCCCACCTGTGCTGCCAGTCCGTCCCCGCCACTAGCAGTGCACATGTGCGTGCTCAGCTTCTCCTGGCGTGCTCCCACCACCGCCACCACCAATCGCAGTGTGCCGACTGGGGCCAGTGTGGAAGAGGATGGTTCCGCTGCGCAGGAGCGTAAGGAAAGCAGGTCCACCAGTGGTGGCGACAGGGGGAACAGCAGTAGGAGCAGCATTGCGCTGCACAGCATATGCCTGGACGTGCCAGAGGGGGCTGTGGTGGCCATTGTGGGCAAGGTGACCCCCCTTCCTCACCTTGTGCTCTCAGCGTTCCGTGTTGTATTGCATCATTCGCACAGCAGCTGCACTCTTTCAAATGCCCTGCTTCTGACCATGCCAGCTGTGCCATAAGCGTCCTCTCTTCCTACACTTCACCGTGCTCATCTCCACTCCTGCATCTCGCTCTCCGTCCTCGTCTTCCTCCCATACTCCTCTACCCGCATGCTTGCAGGTGGGCAGTGGCAAGTCGTCACTGCTCGCTGCAATCCTAGGCGAGATGCAACCTGTACCAACGCATGCCTCGCCGTGCACACATGCACATGCAGCGGCAGCATGTGGCAATGCACATGCACCTGCCATGCATCGTTCGCCCCGCTCCGCTGCTGTCCTGCAGGTGCGTGCTCTCGCTTGCAGCTTGCGTGTTGCGTGCTCCAACCCACCACTGCCATGCGCATGTGCGTGCTGTGTCGATGCGCCCGTCTCACGTGCCCCCTGCTTCTCTTCCCCTGCCCTGCGCACAGGAGCCGTGGGTGTTCGCAGGCAGCATACGAGAGAACGTGCGGTTTGGCGCGCCATGGGACCCCATCAGGTGGGGCTGGGGACAGAGACTGCGAGGAAGGGCAGGGAGGGAATGAAATGGTGTGGTGCTGTGGTGATTCACGATGCTGCCTTGGCACGTGCTTTTGTGTGCATGATGCCTAAGTGTAGCATGGCGAGCGCATGGCATGGCATGTGCAAGAGTGAAGATGAGTCACTGCTGCATCATGCTATCGAGCCACCATGGATTGCACTAGCGGACCACCATATCATGTCACCATGCGTCCCACCCACCAGGTACCAGCAGGTGATGCACGCCTGCGCATTGCATGAGGACACGGCAGCCATGGCAGGGGGCGACGAGGCACAGGTGGCGGACAGAGGGCTCACGCTCTCCGGCGGCCAGCGCGCCCGCCTTGCCCTCGCCAGGTGCGCCCGCCTTGCCCTCGCCAGGTGCGCCCGCCTTGCCCTCTCCAGGTGCGCCCGCCTTGCCCTCGCCAGGTGCTCTCTGGAAGCATTCGCATCACTTGTCTTGTTTGACACCTCTCAAAGCCCCTCACATGCAGTGTATTTCCGTAAGTCCCTCTCTCCTTCTCCCCCGCTCCTCTCCTTACCCCTATTCACACACTTCAACACCACCCTTCAGAGTGCTCTACTCCGATGCCACACTGTTGCTGCTCGATGACCCGCTGTCAGCGCTGGATGCCCGCGTGGCACGCCACGTCAGCGACGCCGCCCTGTTCGGGCCAATCGCCAGAGGCCGCACCATCCTGCTCTGCACGCACTCGCCCCGGGTAGTACTCCCACTCGCCCTCCCAGCTGCTGCCATGCCCCTCCACCCGTCCTGCTTCTCCCTGCCCCACTCACCTCCCAAGTGTGTGTGCGTGCTGGCAGGCGGTGCAGCGATCATCACTGGTGGTGGCCATGCAGTGTGGCAGGATCGTGCATGTGGCACCTCCTGCCACCCGCGTGCCCGCTCTCATGCCTGGGAATAGTGGCGTGGATAGTGATGATTCGCGCATGCATGATGGCGAGTGCATGGATGCAGATACACGCGGTCTGCTGGTGAGGCTGCTGGGGGAGCAGCAAGGCGAGCAGGATGCGGAGAAACGGGGGCAGGAGGGCGAGAGCGAAGGCAGGAAATGTGGGCGGAATGGGCGTGGGGAAGGGGAAGGGGCTGCTGCAGCGAGGGAGGTGGCAGGGCAAGCTGATGGGAAAGCACAGGAGTGTCCCACCAAGGAAGGCCATGGTGTGAGTGGTGTGGATGGTGCCACTGCTGGTGCTGCCAGTGAGGAAAGCAGGCAGGAGGAGGAGGGGGGCCCGTGTGCAGAGGAACCAGACATGGAAGCCCGGGGCTGCAGCGGCGAGGGGAAGGGGCAGGAGGCGGGTGCAGCGTTAGAGGAGGAGGAAAGGAGGGAGGCGGGATCGGTGCGGCTCTCCGTGTACCGGTGTGTGCCGATGCTCTTAGCCCTCTCTGCCGCCCCTCCCAGTGGTGCATGCAAATACTCTCAAATGCAAACTTAACCCCTCCTGCCATCAACTTAAGCAGCCGCCCCTGCCCTCTTGTCGCTTTCCCCTCCTTCCCCCATTTTGTGTGACCCCCATCACAGGAGGTATTGTGCAGCGGTGGGGTGGCCGCTGCTGGCGCTGGTGCTGGCGAGCCTGGCGCTCATGCAGGGCTCCCGCAATGCTGCTGACGTCACGCTCTCCCTCTGGACCGACGCTGTGCAGCACGGTGAGCAGCGGTGCAACTGCCATTTGTGTTAGGGTGCATGGGTGCATGGGTGTTGTGTGTGTGCGCTGCTTGGAGCCACCGCATGGGGCCATGGGGATAGCATTGCATCTCCCTTCCCATCTCTGCCTTCTCTCCGCTGCCCTCTCTACCCGGCCTCCCAGCCCCCGACTCAGAGGCAGCAACAAACGCCTTCTACCTGCGGCTCTTCACCCTCATCGCTCTCCTCAACTCGCTGCTCACGCTCCTCCGCGCCTTCTCCTTCGCACATGCCGGCATGACAGCAGCCCACCGCGTGCACCACGAGTTGCTTGCTGCTGTTGTGCGCGCGCCCCTGGCCTTCTTTGATACTAACCCGTCTGGCCGCATACTCAACAGGTGAGTGAGTTTGTGGTGCTAGTGAGACATGACCGCGTGCTAGTGAGATTGTTTTAAAGGCATGACAGCAGCCCACCGCGTGCATCACGAGCTGCTCGCTGCTGGTGAGTGTGCGCGTGGTGCCAGTGAGACAACACCGCGCGGGGCGGCATGTTGGCAGCCCACCGCGTGCTTGGTGACCTGCTGGCTGCTCTTGCGGGTGCACCGCTCGCCTACTTTGATTTGATGCCAATCCCTCAGGCCGCATCCTCAACCAGTGGCTGGGTGGTTGGTGCTAGGGGACCGGTGAATGAGGGGGCCGAATTCCCAAGCTCACAACCCTGCCCGCACCACCCTGCACCCATCTCCCTTCCTTACACTCCCTCCTAACTCACACCCCCCCCCAGCCGCACCTTCCCAGGTTCTCCTCAAATCTGTTCACGGTGAACAACTGTTGAGGCATCAGATTTTCCCCACCCCCTATCCCACCCCACCCCACTCCTCCCTCCTCACTCGTACCGCTCCTAACCGCACTGCACCAGGTTCTCCTCGGATCTGTACACGGTGGATGACTCGCTGCCGTTCATCGCCAACATCCTCCTCGCCAACTCCTTCAGCCTCGCTGGCATCGCCGCTCTGCTGCTGTACACGCAGGTGAGACAGAATGGGCTGCTGCTAGTGTGCACGCAGGTGCGATGCTCAACACACGGAAGCTGCTGTTCAGGTGCGCTTCACTGTTCTCACACGAGCTTCAAGCCTCTAGTGCCTACTCGCCCCAGCGTTCCACGTTGGGCCGAGCCTTCTCGAGTGCCTTTTCCGTCCTCTTCTCTCTCATCACACCTTCCCATATCCACTCGTGTGACTCCTACCTTCGTTCTGCCTCCCCCCTCCCCTCTTTCCACCTGCAGTGGACGTTTCTGCTTCTCCTGCTGCCTCTCACCTACATCTACTCTATCATTCAGGCAAGCCCCTTGCATCCCGACACTCTATCCTTTTTCAGTCCTCATTTCAACCTCAGCATTCTATTTGCTCCTCATTGGTCATCCCTCATCTGTCCACGTGCATCCTAAAGACTATCCTTCCTGGTCACTCTCCTCCTTACCATTCTCCTCGCCTGTTATCGCTCCCCACTCATACCTCCTCGCAGCATCTGTACCGCCAGTCATCACGGGAGCTGCGCCGGCTGGACAGTGCAGCGCGCTCGCCCGTGTATGCTGCATTCTCACAGCTGCTGCACGGCGCACCCACCATCCGCGCCTTCCATGCTCAGGTGGTTCTGCTCCCCCCCGGATGAACAACACCCTGGATTAACGTCGACCCCCCCGGGATTAACTTAGACCCCCCCGGATTAACTTAGACCCCCCCGGATTAACTTTGACCCCCCCGGATTAACTTTGACCCCCTCGGATTAACTTAGACCCCCCCAATTTAACTTAGACCCCCCCGGATTAACTTAGACTTCCCTAGATTAACTTAGACCCCCCCCGGATTAACTTAGACCCCCCGGATTAACTTAGACCCCCCCGGATTAACTTAGACCCCCCCGGATGAACTTAGACCTCCCCGGATTAACTTAGACCCCCCTGGATTAACTTAGACCCCCCAAAATTAACTTAGACCCTCCCGGATTAACTTAAACCCCCCCGGATTAACTAAGACCCCCCCGGATTAACTTAGACCTCCCCGGATTAACTTAGACCCCCCTGGATTAACTTAGACCCCCCCAGATTAACTTAGACCCCCCCGGATCAACTTAGACCCCCCCCCGGATTAACTTAGACCCCCCTGGATTAACCTAGACCCCCCGGGATCAATTTAGACCCCCACCTGGATTAACTTAGACCCTCCCGGATTAACTTAAACCCCCCCGGATTAACTTAGACCCCCCCGGATTAACTTAGACCCCCCTGGATTAAGTTAGACCCCCCTAGATTAACTTAGACCCCCCCGGATTAACTTAGACCCCCCCAGATTAACTTAGACCCCTCCGGATTAACGACGACCCCCCCGGATTAATTTCGACCCCCCTTGATGACTCCCATCCCATGCTCGCACCCTTTTTTTGTTCTCGCCCCTTCTTGTTTCCCCCTCCTTGTTTCCCCCTTCTTGTTCCCCACCTCTTGTTCCCTCAAAATTTCCCTCAAAGGTTTTCTCCTCTTGTTCCCTCCTCTTGTTTTCTCCCCCCCGCTGTGTCTCAGGAGCACGTGATGCGTGGAGCAGTGGCCCTCATGTCGGCCAGCCAGCACGCGTCCTTCTCTGAGATGGCTGCCTCGCAGTGGCTCTCTGTTCGCCTGCAGGTCATCCTCTCCCCCTCTCTCCCTCTCTCCCTCGCTCACTCGCTCACGCGTTCACTCACTCACTCGCTCACTCGCTAACCACTCACTCGCTAACCACTTACTCGCTAACCACTCACTCGCTAACCACTCACTCACTAACCACTCACTCACTAACCACTCACTCACTAACCACTCACTCGCTAACCACTCACTCACTAACCACTCACTCGCTAACCACTCACTCACTAACCACTCACTCGCTAACCACTCACTCACTAACCACTCACTCACTAACCACTCACTTACTAACCACTCACTCGCTAACCACTCACTCGCTAACCACTCACTCGCTAACCACTCACTCGCTAACCACTCACTCACACGCAAGCCATCGCGACTTCCTGTCGGGCCAACCTTTCCCTTGTCATGTGCACCATGCTGCAATTGTTCCTGGCACGCGTCATGCTCCCTCATCTCCGCGTATTGCTTGTATTCGACCCATCCCGCATGGGTTACTTCAATTCACACTTTTCTTATTCCCTCGTTGTTCTGCCTCCCTCCTTGCGTGTGCAGCTGATGGCAGCAGTGGTGGTGACATTCGTTAGTGTCACCGGCATCATGACCACCCATTCTTTGCCCAATGTCTCACATTCGAACCACTTGGTTCGAATCCACTCGCCTCTCAACCACTCACTACCAAGCAGCACCGTGCACCAAGCCTTTCCACCCGCCCCTGCCGCCCCTCACTTGCCCACGCCCACACCACACCTGCTGTTCCCTTACAGCAACAACACCTCCTCCTCGTTCGCTCTCCTGTCCGACCCAGCGTCGGCCCACACCCTCCTTCTCCCCATCAACACATCACTCCTCCTCCCACCCCTCCTATCCCTCTCCCTCCCCGCCCTCCCCTTTGTCTCCCACCACTTCTCCTCGTCGCAAGCTGATGGGGCATCAGCTCTCTGGCTCTCGCCAGCTGCTCGCCTGGCAGCATGTCCCAACGCATGGTCAGGCACATGGTCAGGTGTTCTATCAGGTGTTGCAACCAGTGCACGGGCACGTGAGTTGCTGAAGGGTCTCAGCAGCTTGCCAGCGATGAGCAGCACGATCGCCGCACTGCGGTGGCTGCTCTCGCTCGTGCTCTCCGCCCCTCGCCTCCTCTTCGGAGCTGCCGCGGCCACAACAGCAGCAGTCTCGCCTGGGCTGGTACGTGTATCCGAAGCAGTCTCGCCTGGTCTGGTACGTGTATCTGAAGCAGTCTCGCCTGGGCTGGTACGTGTATCCGAAGCAGTCTCGCCTGGGCTGGTACGTGTATCCGAAGCAGTCTCGCCTGGGCTGGTACGTGTATCCGAAGCAGTGTCGCCTGGGCTGGTACGTGTATCCGAAGCAGTCTCGCCTGGGCTGGTACGTGTATCCGAAGCAGTGCTGTCTGCTCTGCTGCCATCAGCACTGCTGCCGTTTGGACTCCTGCTGTCTCCCGTTGTTCTTGCACCCTGCACACTGTGTCGTGTCATACTCGTCCCCATCCCTCCTACCATCCCCCAGCTGGGTCTGGCACTGGCATATGCGCTGCCCATAGTGTCGCTGCTCAATGGCACGCTCACCTCCCTCGCCGACACCGAGAAGGACATGGTGGCTGTGGAGCGCGTGCTGGAGGTGAGTGAGGGGCGGGGGTGAAGAAGGGAGGATTTGGAGGTGGGATGTGAGGGGACAAGGAGATGGGGAGCGTGATGTCACAGCGTGCTGCTCTCAACACAACACACTTACTTGCCTCACCAGCACAGGTAAAGACCTGGTTGCTGTGGAGCGTGTGCTGGAGGTGAGGAGGGGCGGGGCTCATGCCGGGGGAAGGGGGGGTTGGGAAGGGAGATGGGGGGTGGGTGCAGGGGAGGTGCATGTAAGGGGTGAAGTGTGTGGGAGGGGCAGGCGTTGCGTCATGCTCTGTGGTGCAGCAGAGATCTTTATCCCCGCCTGCTGCTGCTGACCCGTCACTTCCCACAAACCTCCCCATCACCAGCTGCTTGCGCCCTTGCTTGCCTACACTGGCTGATCTCCCCCATCCCCCGTCGCCTTTCCATCCCCCGCCCACCTTCACACTCCCCCGCCCGCCATCAGTACCTGGATCTGCAGCACGAACCAGACGCCCTTGGCCTGAGCCCCATCCCTGGTGCACAAGGGCAAGGCGGGGAGGGTGCATGGACGGGCGCACATGCCGGAGGAGAAGGGGGGGCGGCCGCAGGAGGAGGGGAAGTGGGGGGATGGCCAAGGGAGGGGCGGGTGGAGTTGAGGCGTGTGAGCATGGCGTACCGGGTGGGGCTGCCTCTTGTGCTCTCAGACGTCTCCTTTGTCATTCCGGGCGGCTCTCAGGTGAGCTGCCGTCAGACCAAGCACCTCTTGTTGTGTCAGTCATGCTCCAATTGTATACTCACTTGAAGCATACTTACACAGTATATTGTCGGGTGTACCTTTCAGAGGATCCATGCTCAGGCTGGACATTCATGCCTGTTGGACTCCTGAGAGTGCATGACCAGTGCTCGCAGCCTTCCGGTGATCCTGTCTTTTCCTACCATATCCTTCTTTTTCTCCGTACCGCTCTGCACCTCTCTGCGTGTCAGGTGGGCATAGCGGGTCGCACAGGGGCAGGCAAGTCGTCCCTACTGGCCGCCCTCTTCCGCCTGCGACCCCTCACCCTGGCCTCTGCCACCACCGCCACAACCAGCAGCAGCACGAGCAGTAGCAGCAGGGCCAGTGGCATATTCATTGATGGCGTCAACACTGCCCATGTCAGCCTCTCCTGCCTGCGCACTGCCCTCGCCATCATTCCACAGACGCCACTCATCTTCCACGCCCCTATCCGGTACGACCAGTCCGAGTCAAGCAAATACTATGCCTTGCATGTGCTGCCCGGCCAGTTTCCTGTCAAGTCAATGACAAGTTAACCTTCGTTTCCACATATTCTCTCTTGCTTTCTCCTTCCCTAGTGCACTGTCCATTCAAGCATGCAGTTCTATTCTTCCTCTGATGTCCTCTCTTGTCTTCACACCTTCCATTGATTTCACGGCCTGCTGTGCCAGAGACAATCTGGATCCCGAGGGAAGGCATGCTGACGTGGCATTGTGGGATGCTGTGAGGAAGTGCCATCTCGACGCAGCAGTGGGGCGGCTGGGAGGGCTGGATGCCATGGTGGGTGGGTCGGCAGGGGGGCTGTCACTAGGAGAGCGGCAGCTGCTGTGCCTGGCTCGAGTTATGCTCAGAAAATCCAAGGTATGGCAGGAACGGGCATGGCAAATAAATGGCATGTGAGTGTGAATGCCCCTCTCGTCTCAATTCTTTTGTTAGTGCCCGTTTTCTGTCTTACAAGATTCCACTACTGTTTCTCTGCAGGTGCTCTGTTTGGACGAGTGCACGGCCAACATTGATGCTGCCACGAGTGCACTCATGCATGCCACTATAGCTCGGGAGTTCCATGGCGTCACCACCATCACCATTGCGCACCGAGTCTCGTCACTACTCTCCCTCCGACGTGTCCTCATCTTTGAGTCTGGCGCCCTTGTACGTAAACACAGTGCTATCCTTACAATGTTATGTTTGTCATCCTTTAAATGTTGCAGTTGTTGTGGTGTGGACTGACTCAAGCTGTTTCTGTTGAGCTTGGCTGTCACAGGTTGAAGATGGTGATCCGAAAAACCTTTTGCTCACCCCAAACTCCAAGTTCTCATTGCTGTTTAAAGCATCCATGTAACACCTCCTCCTCCTACCTACGATATGGTGCTGTTGAAGTGGTGTGTTAGATGGGTACGGTAGATAAAGAATGCGTGAGTAAAGAAAGGCACGCGGGTGTACATTTCATGCCTTTATTGCAGTGTTCACTGTCTTCTTCATGTGTGTGCAACTGGCCGAATCTGCATTCTATGCTAGAAAGGCATAGTGCCGTCGTCGTAGCGGAAGCCTTGATTGTAGAAGAGAATACCGGTAGCAAGAGAACTTCGCAACTGAGAGGATTTAGAACAAGAAATGGTAATGAGAGCACATAGCAGGGTATTTATCCATGCAGCAACCCTGCCAAAGTCTAGCCACCCCCACCAATAATTGTACCTCCAATAATTCTACCCCAATCAGGGCTTTTTTTTGGATTTTCACTACTCAGAATTCCAGAGCTGTTTTCTAGAGAACTCTGAAATTCAGGGTTCATTATGAGCGTTACTCTGATTTGTCAGAGAAAACGTAACTTCTGGAAAATCTACTCTGGGCACCCAGTGTACCTATTTTACCATCCTCTCAAATATTGAACCCAGGCCCTCTGCACTCCTACCAAAAGAATCAAGCGTTGCGCTACGCGCTCACCAAATTACTGAGTTTTATATATGAATTTACCCTTCCCATCTTTCAACAATTGGGGCAGAGAGGGGGGGGGGGGGGGTTGTGACACGGTGAAATGCCTATACCCTGTACAGAGAAAAGTATATCGGTCACAAATATACACTGGTCTCTCAGAGTAGCTAAAATCAGAACCCTGACAAATCAGAGAAAACTTATCCTCCAAAAAAAATACCCAGATACGTCAGAGTGACCCCCTAAAAACCACTCTGATTTTCAGAGAAACAGAGTAATTTACTCTGATAAAAAAACCCCTGACCCCAATAGCCCTGAACTCCAATAATGCAGCTCCTACAATAATTGCACAAGTATTGTAGGGCCTAGATGCTTATATAGGGGATTACACTAAAACCTAACAGCATATAATATTCTGATGCTTTATATTTCCAACATTCTAAACTCTGGCAGGTCCACAAGTTGTGAGGGCTTTATGCAGGGAAGGAATCGATCTACATTGGGCCAATTCTTTTACTGAATTCAAAATTGGCAGCACCCTGCTCCTAAGCACAGCCTAATCTACCCAGTACAAGAACTCCCCCCCTCCCCCCATCCCCCCACCCACACACACACACAAACGTGAGCAACAATATACAGAAGAACTATGTAGACCATTTGCAGACCACGGTGGGCAGGTAGAGCTCAGGAGTGAGCACGTTTCTGCGAGGGAACATGTACGGTAGCAGCGTCAGGAATGCATGGAAAACGGTGCAATGCCTTCACAGCACAGGAAAAAACAATGTACCTCTTGTTCTCGAGCCTTCAGGAATGAATATGCAGCCACCCCGGCAATAGCAATAGCTGTTCCAATGCCAGTTTGCTGTGAGATGGTGTTTCCTGAAAAGGGTAGAGATAGCAGGAGAAGTGAGTGATTATTACAGGACAAAAATGGAGCCCAACAGCCCGTTCTCATATCAACTTGCAACTTACCAAAGATGATAATTGAAAACCTTATAACAAAGACACGCTTGAGGACATTCCCCACAGCATGGGTAAGTGGTGAGACACGCTCAAGGGTGTTTGTTGCAAGCTGCAGTGAACGAAGGTTGGGAGGTCAGTTCCGAAACAATGCTGAAAAGGAGCAAACAAGGTAAGCCCCAATCACCTGATTGTACAAGTGATAGAACACTCCGACCCAGAACAGGTCACTCAGAAATTTGGTCAAGCCAACTTTGGCGATTGCATCTGTGAACCCCCCAGCAAGGAGCTTGGGGCCTTCCATCTGCGAGAAGGACCAAAAATTAATCAGCAAAAAAGTGCAAGAGGGAAGTACGGCCACAGAGATTTCGTACGTACCAGAATGGCAGGAAGGATGCAATAGAGAAGGGAGAGGATGGAAATGTAAGCGTAGAGATTTGTGCTGTCCATTCCAACCTGGAACATTGGTAAGAAATTAATCAGATACCCCTTCGAATGGGGCACACCGAAAAAATCTTTACAAACAGGAAGCTCACCATTGCTTTCTTGGAAAAAACATTTCTGTAAGTGAAGGCAATGTTAGAGGTCATTGCAGTAAGGAAGCCAGTCCAGTTAAAGGACAACTCAGTCACGGATGCCAGGGAAACACCTGAAGTAAGAAATACAAAGCTGTCAGTTTGATGAAAGGAACCAAGGGACCAGAAACGTAAAGCCAGGGAAACACCTGAAGTAAGAAATACAAAGCTGTCAGTTTGATGAAAGGAACCAAGGGACCAGAAACGTAAAGCCAGGCACTCACCAAGGACAACAGGGAGGAGAGACATCCACAGAGGAAGTGACACATTCTGGCCGAGGACAAACTGGGATGCAGCCGCGTTGAAAAATGGCTCCAGGGCTGCACGACAAACAAGCCCGTTTTGTCAAGCTGTTAGCCAATCAACCAAGTACGCTGGCCGATGCTCCCAAGACAGAAAAGCTTACACTTAATCGTGTGTGTGAAGGACACAGCCACTGTTGCAAATGACACGTTGGTCATAACATGGCCAAGCGCGTGGCAGAATGCGACCGGCGCGAGTAGCACAAGCATGCCCTTGTCAATCGGCTGCAGGTGGAAAAAAACCGTCAATATTACAAGGAGTGAGCTGTCTAAGAACAGAATTGACAACTACTCACAGCACGCTTGGGAAGTCTCAAAGCCCAAGAAATTAAACAATAAACGACTCCAACTGTTAAATGAACTGCAGACACAAAGCTGACGGGAAAGCGAGAGAACAATCATACACATGAACACAAGCAAATGCTCAGAGCGGATATCTAATTGGCTCTAAAGCTCCGTTGCACGCATTGCAAGCCAGGCATGTACATTCGCGTTAAAAACCATGTGAGGTAATTACGAAATAACACTCACTATGGATACGGAAAGTAGTTGTATATCTTTTTGTTCAATATGTTGAAGATTACGTTGAGAAAGTACCTGCGCATACACACGACAAATTTCTCATGATACCAGTCTACAAACAGTCTACCAGTTACTTGACGATTCGAATGTCGGCTCACCAGAAGAAGAAAAGTGTAGCTGTTGCGAGGCTTGGATATCGTTCTGGAATGCTCTGGATTGCGTCCAACAATCTGTTAAAGTGGTGCAAGGAGCAATTGTTAATAACATTCGCAGAACTTACAACGGAAGACTCGTCAGTGGCCATGCTCACCCTTCAGAATGCGGGATGAGACCAACTCCGGCAGCAGCCGCTGCACATATCGTGGATTCTCGTTCTTTAGCCGCTGGCTGCTGACCCGGGTGATCAAAATTGTTTGGAAGAGCATTTCTTTTAACGACTAGCCGTCGTTTCTGTAAGGGAATCAAGCCATTGGTACGTTTTCTCAGCTTGACCAGACGTGGAGTCACGCTGCCTTGATTTTCCAGTCGAGAGTATGATAACGATGAAGTCTTGGCGGCCACCGCAAGCGACGCCGAACTCAGTGACGCTAGGACTGTGACGGAAGTCATTGCTAATACACGTTTTCTGAGGCCAAAATTCAGCACAAGCTTCAGGAATTGTGGCAAATAGAAGCTATGGAATACAACGCGACAGGATGTTGGTAGCTGTGCTGATCAGAATGAAGAAAAAACGTTCACAAGCTCTTCATAATTCATGACGATGCAGATTATCCAACTTTGGGGATTGCAAAGCGCATTGGTGGGGGCTGCAGGTTGTCCCAGCCAACGCAGCGCCACGCAACCTTTCCAACTTTTGGAGTCAGGGAGGGTGCATCGCTGTCATGCTGTGCTGGCAGGATCCACCGCTTGAATTGCTAGACTGACACTTCGAAAGAGCATCACGCCACTCGCGCCGACATATTCTGCATAGTTCGCATGACACTGACAATTCGAATTGCGTGTCTGACAAACTTTCCGCATAACTTGGATCAAGTTGTTCCGTAGCACAGTTTGTGTTTATGTACACAATAGTATACCAGAAGTATCGGTGCATCGTTTAGCGAAGCAACCTGGAGCCTGCTATCATCGTTCATTAGGGTTCCCTGAATGGACAATCAACACGCAGCTCTTACAATCACTCGTTAGTGCAGCTTATGAGTCGTGAAATCCTGTGAAAGGTACGCCATGGCTCCTGTTGACGAGACATTCTCGCAGCTGCAGGGCTTCGTCGCAAGGAGCGCGGCGGAGCTCAGCCAGGGAGTGGAGCGCGGCTGGCACGGCGCCGTGGCTCGCTTCGACGCTGCTCGTCGCAACCCCGTGCCGTTCCCCCTACCCCTCGCCTCCATCGCGGGAGTCGACCGGAGAGGTCAGGCCGCTGACGGGCAGGCTGGTGGATTTCGGCTGCCCGATCCGCTTAGAGCTCTGCAGACCGTTATCAGCGGCGGGAGACCCAAAGAGGTTGTTTTAGAGCCTAAGGCACCCAGACGGCGTAGAGTTCCTGCCGCTGATGGGAATAACGAAGGATTAGTTCTGGTGTCTAATAAAGCGTACGACGGTGACGGGTCGGCGACGGACGCGCGACGGAATCAGCTGCCGACGATTCGAACGTCTCTGTCGCGCGCGATGGAAGCGACGTACGCAGGCAGGCTGCGCGTGAGTGGGGCGGAGGCTGACGTGGACAGCGAGAGAGGCAGGGGAAGGCGCGAGGGAGGCGCGGTGCTGGCTGGGAGTGCGCTCAAGGCACGCGACGGACGGAGATTCGAGGTTGCGCGGCTCTCCTCTCCTTTCCCATCCCACCACTATCCCTCACTTCCTCGCGCCTGCCGGTTCCATTCGCGTTACAATGTAACCCGCTGTAACGTTCTCTCTGTGTGTTTCTGAGCAGGAGTTGGATTACATCAACGATGACAACTACGACGAAGATGATGACGGCGCCCTCGCGGCCCTCCTGCGGCCCCCTCCGCCCTCCCCTCTCGCCGCCGACGGCTCTTCCCTTTCCTCTGCTGCTGCTGCTGCCGCTGCTAGTAGTGCTAGTAGTGCTGGTGGTGCTCGTGCTGGTGCGGTTGTGGTGAGCAGCCCGGGTGGGCGACGGCAGGCGGGGCAGCAGAGGCAGCAGCAGGCGGGCGGGGTGAGGATGGGCGCGGACGGCGCGGAGGAGTGGGCGGGTCCTGCTCCGGACTTCCTCAAGAAGGTGCCACCCTGTTGGGTCAAGGGAGCGGTGTCGTTGCTGTTTCATGTGTGCTGCTGCGCCTTGCCCCCACGCAGGCCCACACCTTGACTTTCATTCTCTGGTGAATCCGCATGCATGGTGCATAATTCCAGGTCCATGAGCATCTGAATTGGCATGACCATGGCTGCTGACTGACCCTCCCCTCACTCCCACTGTCACTTGGCGCCAATTCCCCTCTTCCACCAGGCAGCACAGGAGGCGGGCCCAGCGACCAAGGAGGAGCTGGGGCGCGCCACGTGGACGTTTCTGCACACGCTGGCGGCTCAGGTGCGGGAGAGGTGAAGAGGGGTGTAGAAAAGCGAGGGTGGTGGGGGCAGAGCGCCTGTGAGGGAGTTTCGCTCAGCCTGTGAAGGTTATCTGGCAAGTTGTTCTGCGGAGCTCAGTCCAGTCACACATGGCGACTTACATTTGCAATGTGCATACCTCCACAAACTCCCCTGTTCCTCCTCCCCTACTTTCTGGTCGTCCTGCAGTTTCCAGAGAAGCCAAGCAAGCAGCAACAGAAGGACGCCAGGGAATTCGTGAGATTTGCAGCAACAAACTGTTCTCTCGCATGCTTCTCCGCTCTCTCTTCCTTTTGCATGGTCGTGGCTGCTCTGGATTGTTTTTTCTTAATTGAATACGTTTCTTCCTGTGGGCATGCTTCTTTGTAGGCACATATATGCAGTTGGTTGCATCCATGCCTGTGATCAACCATCTTGTCCTCTCATCTCTCACCTGTCACCATTCATTCTCCTGTTCTTCACTCCTCCTGCAGGTGACTCTCCTTGCCCGCGTCTACCCCTGCAAAATCTGTTCCTACCACTTTCAAAAGATAGTCAAGTGAGGTTTTTATGTATTTCCATGCCCGCTTTACTCACGCGTATCACATTGACACACTGTAATCACCTTCGTCCCTGTATAGACTGTCTTTACTAAGCCCCTTCTGTGCTTCCTGTTTTCCTATTGTTTCCTCCATTCCAGGGCCAACCCTCCCCAGGCAGGTTCAAGGGGGGAGCTGGAGCAGTACATGTGCCGCCTGCACAACATCGTCAACCGCAGGTACCTGCGCTGACCTTGCCACGCTCCTTGCCATACCATTTCACTACGGCAATCCCAGTGCTGTGCCGCATGGTGCCTCCATTTTTTTCAACAACTAACGTACAGTATTCCATTATTTGTTTCCCGTATTCCCCTTCCAGTCTCAAGAAGCCGGAGTTTCCATGCAAGAGGGTCTCTTCGCGGTGGGGTTCGTTAGAGTGTGAGGATAATGCTTGTGAAGTGTGAGACAATGGGGCTACGTAGCCTCAAAAATTGGATTTAAGTAACGAAATGTAGGGTACGTATTTGACAGCTTGTTTTGGCTGAGGTGAGGTAGCATGAGGTTGTGTAGTGTACAGGCAGAGGACGTTTGCTTTGTGATAGATTGCAAATTTGGCTTTGTGTTAAACAGAGAAAAATTGCCTTCAAATGTATACTTGCAATGCAGCTACAATAATGCACACGCAGATGTGATCACATGCACCTGACTATGTACCTGTCCACTCTTCCTAACTTAGTGATGATACAGCTTGCCCTGCAGTATGTACTAGCAGATGGCATGTGTCATTGAGAACTGCAAAAACTGCAAGGAGAGCTTGGCACACAGCACCATCTCCTTTATGAGAGCAGACTCAATGGCCCCCCTGCTTGCTTTGACCTTGGTCAGCTGCACTTGGAAGTGCAACTTGCATTGCACCCAGCTCGTGCAAAGAAATCATTGTGTGAGACCACTTCACATGGCATGGCTCACACCGTAAGCGATGCATGGAGCACCATGTGAAATCACCTGATGCACACATGCTTTCAAGCAACAGGAGGGCGAAGAATATGATCCCTTGAGATGTCAGCAGCATTGGGGGGCAACCATTGCCACATGCCTGTGTTTAGATCCGCTGGGTCCATGGGAGGCGGAGGCACAGAAAACACAGGGTTGTAGTCTGCTGGTTTGGCTGTGATTTGACCAGAAAACGCCGCCACTGCTGCAGCTTGCAGTGCGGCTGATGCTGCTGCTGCTGCTGCCTGGGATGTGAAGCAACCAGTGGCGGGGACGGGCAACGAATGCAGTTTCCCTTGCAACGCGTCCTTCTCAGCCTTCAGCCGTGACTTCTCCTCGCGAAGCTCCGACTTCTCGACCTGCACGGCAGACAGGGGAGAACGGTGTGGAGGCATACAAAAAGGGCAATACTCAATAAATGCCTTCTTTAAGAGCAATTCTTGCATCTTGTAAAATACATGCACAGAATAAGGTAAACAAACGGCGAAATAGGAAGAAGCCCGGGAACTACCTTTAGTTCCTTTATCTGGTCACGTAGTTGCCGGTTGCCTTCTGTCAGGGCAATCGCCTCTTCTTTCAATCGGGTCAGAAGCTTCACTGTGTCGTTCAGGATCACGGCTTTGTCCGTCTTAGGAGGCAGATCCGGGTCGAGCTCCTTCCCCAACTCAAGAAATCTGCACCACATAATACATTGAGTCAGTTGGCTTGATCCTTTTTGCAATTAGGCCAGCATCCTAGTTGAGGCGAAAAAAACATATGAACGAGATTCTCGCGTCGCACACCAACCTGTCGTTCAAGCGATCACGTCGCATTTTCTCGCGACTTGCTTTCGTGCATAGCAGGTCTTTCGCAGATTCTTCTCGAGGCCTGCACGCCAAAAAAGGTAACCTAGATCAATAACCGTAAATCTCAACGGGGAAGCTTTGCATGAATAAGGTGCGATAAGTCTGGAACTCACCTCTTTCTGACAACCACACTATCCTTCTGTATTTGACGACCGTAACCAGCTCCTCCACTTCTGAAACGATTCGAACAAAATGTCACCAGGGGGGAGATTAGGTTATCGCCACCAGCGAAAGCAGGCTACAAGATGCTGAAACAAATGCGAATTTTGGCAGCGGAGATATGGTTATCGCTACCTTGAGTCAGAGCCATCTGGTTGGGTTTGCCATGAAGGCCCAAGCGTTAGATTTCTCCCTACTGATAAACGCAAAGCATCTGAGCACTCCATATCTTCGAGTGATCGAAAGCGTGTGAAAATCTTTACACGTCCCGGCGAACTGAAGTGCACTGGGGACCGATTTTAGTCAGGTAGAGATAAGTGTGTGGAGTGATGGGAAGAGTGCTATCTGCGAAATTGTGTGCGCGCTACCTGAACTGTCAGCTCATCCATCAGCAGGGGGGATGAGGAGGAGGTTGTGGCGGGTTGGCTGGGGAAAGAGGTGGACGGAGGAGTGGAGGGTCCGATGTATTGAGATGGAATTCTAAGCAAGAGGAGGATCTGAGGTGGTGTGCCCTCGCAACAAGGCCAGAAAGTTGCGCCAAAGTGAAGCGGTCGCAGCGCTGTCTTGGGTGGGATAGCATTCTGCTCGGTGAGGGACGGTTCTGCGTTTCCGAGGGGATCTCAGCTAGGCTTTGCTGTACGCCAGCGCACTCGTGCAATGGCAAGCGCACACGCACTTGCTGAGCTGACACGGCCCAAGCAGGTTGGACCTGCACCGACGGTTGGTTGGTGCGTTTCGTTCTTCCGCCATTTCCCGAAGTCGGTGGTGCACCGGTGGTGATCAGCAATCGCGCAACGCAACAGTGAATAGACAAAAGTGGAGATGGCATGGATTCCTCGTGCGCTAAGGCGCAAGGACGCCGCATGTTTTGCCTCTGTTTTGGGCGCGACATCAGATGATGTGGCTCTTCCTTGATTGGTGAAAGAGGTTCACATTCAGCCTCCTCAACGTGCTTACCATGCGATGTGGCTTCTGGCGATGCTTCAGATTCGCAGTGCGTGACCTTTGTCCTCTCCAGCGCCACGAACGGCATCCACACAATGAACGGCGACCAGCTTTCCAACTCCGAGCATGTGCCATGGTGGCACATCCACACGCCAAATGCCTGCTTGGCCCATACCCAAAGATCAGTAACACATAACGTACAGTCATCAGCAGGGATGTAGATTCAAGGGCATTTGCCCTTAATGCCCTGAACATTCCGGGTTACGTTCGGCGCAGCTCGGCCATTTCAAGGGCTCGATTCGACCGACACCCTTGCCAGTTAAGGGCATCGTTTGGCCCTTCCCGGGACTCGGTAAGCGCTCAATATGGGTCGTCCCTTGAATCCTAAGTTGACTTTCGGTTCCTGAGGACACCCCCCTCCTCCCCCCCCCCCCCCCCCCCCGCCCCCCAAATCCTGAGGGCATCCCCCCCTCCTTTTACCCCATTTCCATGAAAGTTGCACGCGAGCGTGCCAGGTGGAGGATGTTTCAATTCAATCGATTTCTAACCAATCCAGTGTGTGCATAGTGTCAAAGTCAACATAGTGACAGCTGACCTCTCCTTCAGCAGCCAATACGAGCTGCCGCACTGGTGACAGCTGGTACAACAAGGACTTCTGTGAATGGACCTGGCTAATTTGTTACAGCTGAGAGAACTCCAACATCGCACTAGCACCAGGGACAGCTTCACACAGGAAACTGTCTAGCGCTGCATCTTTCACTCATCCTACCGAATCAACCAAACCAAACACTCAGCCGAGCAAACCTAGCCTCACCTCACCTCACCTCTGTTAACAGGAATGGAGTGTTGGCCCCGCCCTCGCTTGGGCAACGCCGACGACTTGGTCGGATGCACGGGAGTAGCAGCCGACCGTTCACAGTGGGATAGCTGCTCGACAGGTTACGTCGAGCTGCAGCGGACCGCTGTGGTGTTGCTGTCGACCAAGGAGCTCGACAGCTGCAACTGACTGGTCTCTGCGACGAGTGGGCCGTCCGGGAGGTTGACAAAGCAGTCCATCGACCTACAGTTCTACGGGGAGGTCTACGGAGCATCCCGTTGAACTGCAGCTCGACCGGGAGGTCTGGGGAGAATCCCGTCGACCTACAGTTCGACCGGGAGGTCGACAGAGCAGTTCTGGTCGACGGAAGGGGTCCGTCGACCAAGGGGTAGCTCGACGGGAGTTGTGGTCGACCAGGAGCGCCTGGTGGTCGACCAGAGGGACCCAGTGGTCGACCGGAGGCACATGGGGGTCGACCAGAGCACCAGGGGTCGACCAGGTCGACCGGGTAACCTGCTCGACGAGTTCTGTGAAGGCTCGCGAATGTCGTTGAGATCGCGATGGCGCAGGCGACTTCGGACTGGTATCCCGAAGTCGATGTGGCTCGTCAGGCGCAGACAACAGCCGACGGATGCCCAACGAGGCAAGTCGGGCCAATCATCTGCGCACACCTGCGAGCGCGCGCACTGCTGTGTTCTACGGGGCACGCTGTCGACCTGCTTTGTTGGCAGGTCGCCCTTCTGCAGTGCTGGCGCGGCTCCTCTACGCAATGCTGGCAGGCGGTCGACCGAGCTCCGCTGGCGGTCGACCAAGCTAGCTGCAGGGTTGCTAGGTGCCTGATGTAGTCATTCTTGTCATTGCTTCTTGGATTATTCTGGAATTCTCTGCTTTGCTAGTGAAAACTTTTGCCAATTTCTCCCGTGAATGTGCAAGCACTAAGGAACCAAGCAAAGCTACGATCACCTCTAGTAGTTCGTGCCAACCCTGTAGTCCAGCTCACTACCGTTGTAGAGTGTATCTCCGCAACCTCCTCTCCTCACCTCACCTCACTCGCATCGCATCGCATGCCATGGTCTGTATTTTAGGTTGCTGCAGATCGTGGTCCCCTTGTCAAACATTATATATATGTTGTAGTTGCTTAGGCTACAGTGGGTTAGCCTATAGGGGGTACACAATTTTAGGGTTTCCTACTTGTACTCATTTTCACTGTTAGTTCATTCATTCTTGTTCAACATGGTATCAGAGCAGGTCCTTCCTAGGACCGATTTTTTAGGGCCCACCACTACCTACCTACCTACCTACCTACGCCCTAGGGCGCCTCTGTTTTCTCGCCCCTAGAGGCCCCGAACGGCCCTCGCGCTCGCCCCTAGAGGCCCCGTCCGCCCCGCGCTCATGTCCCTAGAGGCCCTGATCGGCCCCGCGCTCGCCCTTAGAGGCCCCGATCGGCCCCGCGCTCGCCCTTAGAGGCCCCGAACGGCCCCGCGCTTGCCCCT